GCAAATTACCGTTCACGGTAGCTCAGTCGGTAGAGCGCTCGCTCCGTGATCGGGAAGTCTTGAGTTCGTATCTCGTCCGCGATTGGCCTAGTCGTTAAAATGGGTAGCAACTGTTCCTTCGACATGCGCTCGGCACTTTGAAGTGAAAAGTCGCGGGATCCTTCGGATGAGACCTTAAAAACCGAGGGCCCGTATTAGTGCAGGTGTTGGTACGATAAAGATCTTTCACTGCTCAATGGCCCTCAGCCGTTGAGTAAAGGTCAAAATTTGAGGCCCTTCACCGGCATACAGTGACGTCTCCATATGAGTGAAACATACTCGAGAGGGACGTTAAACAATATACAATCAATCAATCAAAAGCTGAATTTTATATCATAGTTTACACAATTTTATAAAGCTGAAATTAAATCATTAAGAATTTTCGTCAACGTTACACGCCTAAATTATTTTTACAATAGCCCCCAAACTCTGTAAGGTATAAAGTTAAACCAATTTATAAATTATTTATTGATTAACAGATAGAAAGTATCATTTGATAAAAAAAATACTTGGAATAATATTAATTGAGAAAAATTCTTCTCTAAAATGCATCTATTTTCAAAAAAAATACACCTAATTAATTCCATGCTTTTAGTGAAAACCATCATTGCAGAAGCAAAAAAAAGAATGTTCTCAATTCATTGAAAGGGCAAGTTGGACTATTTCTACAATGTTGGTTTTCACAAAAAGGACAGAATTAAGCAGGTGCATTTTTTTTTAAATATGCACATTTTCTGATACAATTTATCTCTAAAAATATCTTTTTAAAAATATTTGTTATCAAGTAATACTTTCTATCTATTAATCAGTGATATATTTACGAAATGTAAACGTTTTGATTTCATACCACACATAGTTTTGGAGCAATTGTAAAAATAATTTTTTAGACATGTTTGACCTTTGACGAAACCTTAAAGGTAATAAAGTACATTTAATTTTTCCTTCCTTAAGGTAACACTGCATGAAAAGTCGGGTTTAATTTGACCTCAAATGCGATTTAAATGCTGCGATTATTAAATGTTTAAATGCATAATATAAAATATTGTGGGATCTTAAATGTTAGAAAATAATAAGCATTTAATACGAGTTTAATGAAAAATTAAAAGAACAAATTTAATAAAGTTTGGAAAATTGTATACTTACTAATACGTTCGGATTTAAGTCTGCCGTAAACAAGTATTATAAATCTAATATACAAAACGTATAATTATTATTAAACATGGCCATAAAATAAAGTTTTATGGTCATATTAAATTTGTTCGTTTAATAAAATTTAACGTAGATCTTTACCTCATTATTTTTTGTTAAATTCACACTTTACTTTATGATACTTCCAAAAATTAGGTTATATACGGAAAACAGTAAACTTACTAATACGTTCAAATTTTAATCTTTCATAAACTAATATTAAATCTTGTTTATAAGTAATGAAAATGTACGGATTAAACCTTCCCATAGCATTAAGATTTAAGGTTGTATTTGATGAAATTTAATATTATTATATTATTGCATAATATTTTTATTTCATTATTTATTCCATCAATAATTTGTATGGTTTCAGCCTGTGTTTTTGGCAAGTATTTTACATTCATACACAAATGCATTTCTCATTCAGTTTTATTATATGTTATCTCAATAGTCTACAAACAATGAGTTCTAACAAAGTACAAGATATTTCAAATTTATGCCTAAAAGTCAGAATTTAAAAAAATACAATCATAATTGTAGCTCAATTATAATGGAGTAAATTTCTACATACTAGTAGTAAGTAATATACTGAAGTAATTATAAATAATTTAATATAAGAATAGAATTGTATGTAAAATTCAAATCCGCAATAAATCAGAACACGACAGGTCAAAAATGTAGTCATTCTGGACTCCAAAAGACTGCAAAATCTGACTGAAACTGCCCCTATTAAAACTGCTGCATGGGTTGTAAATGGCTTTTCAATTTCCCACAATAAATTATATCATACTGCACACTAAGCCACTGACAGAGAAGCCTCACTCGCCCACAAGCAACATCAAAAGGATCGGTCAGAGACGCCACCCTTCTCTTACTTGGGTATCAAGATCTGCAACTTACTGCCAGCAAAGCTCTTTCAGACTACCCTTGATTATCTTATTTTTTTCCACAATAATGTCCATGCACTTATTATTTAAGTCAGACTTGTACATATATGTAATATATAAATCAAGATTAAAATGTATCTGATTGCATACTACACAACAAACCAATAAATGTTTAAACAATAAAAAACATAACAGTTTCAATCTGTAATCAAGCATCAGAAAAAAATTAAATTTCGCTGTCAAAAATACAACACTAGGTATATTTTTTTTCTTATCTAACATTGAATGTGTAAATTAAAGATAAGTAAAACAAGCATCACATTTGTGCAAAAAAGTAGAAACTCAGATATTTCATCTCTAATAGCCCATCTATGTTCAATTACTACATCCATAGGGTTGACTAGTACTCTTTTAGATTCTTTATTTGTCTTAGTTCTTCTTATGCTCTGCCTTTTAGAGTTTTGATTTGAGAGTGGCACTTTTGGTGTCCTGTTCTTTGAAGACTTTCTTACATTCATCAGAAGGCAACTTCAGTTTTCTAATTTCATAGATAGTATTATCTTTAGAATCATTTTTTGTACTATGAAGACGTAATCAATATTTAAAACTGCTTCTTCTTCTTTTTCTTCTCTTCATGCCAAGAAGTTTTCAGCTCTGGAGAAGCACATTTAGCTCCTAATTTCTACAACAAACATAAAAATAAATACCCATTTGCCTATATATACATATTATATGTGTGCTTCCGGATTTATGCAATTGCATATATTAAAAAGTACACAAAATCTGAGTTGATTGTAAAATTATCAATTGACCTAGAGGAAACACAGCTCAATTTTGATTAATTAAAAAAGTTACAGAAGACAACAAAAGATATGCCATTTTTTCAAGTCTGGGTAATAAAGACAGATAATTATCTATAATTTCAGGCCAGCGAGCTACAGATTATGAAGCTAATGTTGTTATACATTGTACATGTAAATTGGGGACTAATGATTTTTTCGCCATCTTTTTTGTTTTTGGAGCATTTTATTACTATGTTTACCTGCTTGACCTTGAACATGTTGTAGTGCCCTTTTCTCTGCTCCTCCACATTAATTCTTTCATTTAGCAGCAAGATACTATGGATATGGTAAAAAGCTGTCACAAACAAAATATGAAAAATTAATAACAGGTATGGCTCTCCGTAGAAAGAATATACAAAAAAGGAGAAAAAATATACAAATAGGGTATACTTATGACTAAAGCAAGAAGATAACATATTACACAATGAAAAAAATTCTCTGTGTCATCTAGGTAAATGAATTACATAAAAAAAAACATATAATTGTATGTATAGATCAAATTTATAGACAACAAAATATGATATGAAACATACATAATGGCACCGTAGTCCGAACACATGGAATTTGAAGATTTACAAAGTTTACAAAAATGAAAAGAATAGCATTTACATCATTTAATATATTAAGACATAGGTATTTATAGTTTCACAGCAGCAAGCTACAGATTTTGTGGAAGTACATGAAAATTGGAGACTGGTGACTTTTTGCCATTTTTTTTTTTGGAGCAATTTACCAATGTATTTACCTGCTTGACCTTGAATATGTTGAGATGCACAGCCCTTTCCTTTGTGTTCCTCCACGATATTTTATTTCATGTAGCAGAAAGATACTATGGATAAAAAAAATATGAAAAATTAAAAGCAGGTATGGCATCTCTTAGAAAAAATATACAAACAGATGTATTTATGATTAGAGCAAGTAGATAACATTCATACAATAATAAAATCCTTAATCTTTGTGATCTAGTTCAGCGAATTATTTCAAAAACATTTTATGATATGTATTAGATTAAATTTAGAAACGACAAAACATGATATGAAATGGATGTACATACTCGGAACACATGGAATTTAAGAGTAAACAAAAATGCAAAGGTTAGCATCTACAGCATTTAACATGCAAGTTATTGGGATAATGAGCAAGTGATTTAATATAAATTAAAATATATTTAATTTAACAACTTACACTGTAGATAGCAGGTTTTTAAAGTGGACAGCAAATGCAAAGTTCTAGTAAATGGTGGCAATCTCATATACAATAAGTCGTACAACAAATGATTAGTTCGTACCTCATACTGGGTAGCCAAATATCTGGTCAAGTCACTTTCAGAAGGAAGGCTCAGCAAGTTCAATGTTGGTCATTCCCATAGCTACTTCAAACTTTTCTGGCACAATTTCTGAAAGAAAAGATGTATCTTGCAGGGTTTTTTGTACAAACTAGGATTAATTCTCATGAATGTAAAAATTTGAAAAGTTTATAGATGACAGACAAATACCAGACACAGATAAGAAAACTCGCTCGGGTCTTAAAATGGCTCAGGTGAGCTAAAAAATCAATTCATGTGATTTTTTTGATCCTATCAGAAAATTTAAGAAATCTTTCTTCATACTGCTTTTGTCATTTCTTGTGATCATTTGGATTCCTGTAAATAATGGATGCATAATTGTGCAACATAGAATATGATAGCTATTTTTAATAATTCATGCTTAAGTATTTAACGTAAAAAAAAATTATGCATAGCTCAGAATCCAATGCTATTGTATTTTTAGGATAAAGGAAAATAAGAATATAAACCCAGGGGATGACAAATCCCATAGCCCAACGCCCGGGCTAGTGAATTTTAGGGGTGGGCAAGTGGAATTTTATCAACCACTTGCCCATGGGCAAGTGACTTATCAAAAAAAATAGAATTTATTTGTAGGCCATTTTAAAGCTGGGCAAGGCGGCTTGCTCAGCATTTGTATTCCTCTTTTTGGAAATATCTATAAATACAGAATTAGTTTATGGTAGGGCAAGCAAAAATTCAGGTAGGGCAAGTCAGTTTTGACCATGTACTTGCCCTTGGACTAGTGCCTTAAAAATCTATTTGTCAGCCCCTGTAAACCTCATCTTGTTTACTTGGTATATAGCATTTCAATTTGTTGCAATATTTTTTATAGTCTTATGCTTAAAGATACAGGTTGATAAAACATTGTTAGTTTTTTGTGTTAATTGAAAATTTGAACTGCATGGTTCTCACCATTTTCACATGCTGTCTACATAGCCGGCGATGTGGGGAATTGTCTCAGGGACAGTCCACTGCAACTATTTAAATAATCAAAATAAGTGCTGAATATATTCTTGAGTATGCACAAGAAATAAATAAATATTTTATTACATTGTACAACATACTCTGTAAATGCTGAACAGAGGAACACTTTAGTGACTAAAATTCTGAAACCAATACCAAACGAGAAAATTCTGGTTAAAATCCATCTTTAAGAGAGATGATTAAAAGTGTTAAATAATTATTACAAAATCTAAATAGCGCTTGCCCAAACGTTTTTACTGCCAGGCATTTTATGTGTAGAGCCCAGACTAAGGAACAGTAACATTATCAGTAGCAGAGGCAATTATTCATTCAAGGACACATGATAAAATTTTGTACATTGTTCCTACCGCTAAACAGGGTCGTAAATGTCTTCATCTTCTGTTAAAACAGAAATTACATCAAAAGTTAATCATGCTTCTCCTTTTCGTGTCACTCTCTTTCGCCCCTGACAACATCATGATCAAGTTCAACATGGCTGCGTGGAACTCTCCAAGAAATTGAATTTCGGCGCGGTGTGTTGTTTTTAAATTAATTGCTTTTGAGCCCGACTTCGATCCCCATGTAATTGTACTACAGTAGTAGTCGATCATAGAGAAAAACTAAGTTATATTCCACAGTTTTGAAAAAATGTACATAAGGGTTAAATAAATAAAAATGAGAAATGAATAAATTAAATTAATAGGGTGCCTAAATGTTTTTTTTTCAAAAATGTTTCAACATAAGTTTACATTAGGTATAAAGAATTATTTATGACATATTGAAAATACCAAAAATGTACTTAAACTTTAAGTATAAGCATATTTACTTTAACATGTCGATATTCTTAAACGAAACGTATAATTTTCTCAATTAAACTATATTATTCTCGACGTATTTTGCATTAAATGTGATTATACTTATTTGAAAACTGTACTTAATTATATCACAATATATCTCATGTAAAATGTACCTCTATACATAAATTAAATTCAATACAAGAAATTTACTGGAGTAAACGAATTTATTAAATTATATTAAACGCGACTTTTCATGCAGTGTAAGGTTTGCGTCTCCCTCCAACTTTTATTTTTTTTAATATGCACACATGCCATATATCAATTTATTCAGGGAGATTAGCTTCATCATTTAATATGATTTTCAAAGATATTGCCCGTCCCATTTTTTTAGTAAAAGACGCCAAATTTAACGTATTTCATATTTCACCTCGAATATTATTTTCATTGAAAAAATTGATTTATTTTATTAATTATCAAACTTTTATAATTAAAATGACCTGAATTAGTATAATTCATGCTTCTATTATTTAAACTATTAATTTTCCGTTATCAAAAATGTGAAAAATTGGGTAAAAAAGAAGATTTTTCAATTTTCCTTGATAAAGTGAAACCGTTGCCATGGCAACAAAAATATAAAAATCAACGTTTTACATATCTACCGATTCCATCAAATTCCGTGAAGTTATTAATTTGATCATTTTAAATAATTTGAACCAAAAAAATATGTATGTCCCCAATATTATTTCCATGGAAACAGGGGCTATATTATGGGTTCGGAACACAAAAATCAGGCTTTTTCTACACTTATAAAGACAACATTGATATCACCTTGTCATGGTGAATGTTAAAGACTAAATGTATTTTTGATATTGTTTTTAAGCAAAACTTGGCCAAAAATATTCAAAATAAAACTCCTCCTGTGCTACAAGATGGTCTAAAAATTTATTCCATGGAAGAAATCTAGTATTTATGGCAATCTTTACATCTGAATATTCTGATGAAATTGTCCATGAATTATACTGCAACACCTTTAGAAGTACATGTATATGTTTATAAACATACTTCAGAACATGTTGCAACTAACCCAATTAAAAGCCTCTGAATTTGACCTCATGCTGATTTAGTTATTCCAACATGTAGTAATTTCTAGACATCTTCGTAGCAAAATATCTTTATTCAGTTATGTCTCGTGACTATCATTATACATGTATGCCATCTTTTGAGTGAAATGTTGTAAGCATTGCATCCACGAAGCTGCTGTTTTTTATAATTAATTGATTTCTTTACTTCGAAGAATAGAAATGCTATCTTGAAAGTAATGTTTGTTTGCCCTCTCTTGACTCTGGGTAAAATTATTGGGTCGGTAGGTGAGAAAATCTTCAACAACATTTCTTTACGGGGAATAAGAGGAATAAAAAGAAAAAATACGGCCCTGCATTGAAAAAAAAAAAATTTCAGTCTGGTCATTTTAGTCAGTCGGTCTGGAGAGGCCGACAACCAAACATATCTTAAAGATGGCCTATTTCTACACTTCATGGAATTAGCTCAATCATTGGATTAGGTAGTCTGAGAATCTAAATTGAAATATCAGACAGAACAAAATAAAGATGAATTCTAAGTGACATCAATTCATACTTTAATGAGTTTACAGAGTACTTCTGATTTCAGAGAAAAGGCAAATTCTGCAAAATGACATAACACTGTCATAAATATTTGTCAAGAACAGGGAAAAAGAAACAATGTTACAGTGATAGATATATCTCCTTGATATCCATGAAATAATAATTTAAATATAAAAAATTTTTCTCCTTTTTAAAATCAAAATACAGAAAAAAATTAAAAGATTATAAATGTAAACAATTTAAAATAAACTACATGTATTTGTGAAAGATTTTAATTTTAGTTGATTACTAAACTGGTCTTATCATTCCTACTAAATTAACAACCTTTCAATTTCCAAGTGTCATATTTTAAACTGTTAAATGTTCACTGCAGCTTTATTTACAAAACTCATCAGTTTTCAGAAATACTTATTTGAGCATATTAGGTCCTGGTAAGAACAAAATTTAATGAATAAAAATATTAAATTTAATTGTTCATGTATTAATTTCCTTGCAATTTTACAAAATAACCCTTTTAAGAAACTTGTTACTTGTAAGTGTAGACAAAAGCAACCTTCAATTAATACCTTAATGTATACATTTATTTTACTGAAAACAAATTCAAAGATGGACAAACAGAGCATTCACTGCAATCATCACATACACATATTTTCTAAATATATTGAAAACAGCATGTGTATACTACCAGGTAGATAGGATGCTGTTAAACATTAAATTTTTTTCTATAATCTATAGACATATAAAAAATATGCATTGGGTACAACAAATCATCATTTCTTTTCCAAATCCCCATTGACTTTGCCATGTCTGGTTCAACATCTTAGCTTGATCCATCCAACTTTCTTTAATATTCTTGAGCTGATATGGGATGACCTCTACTTTGATTGATGGCACAAATCTTTTAAGGAAACACTGAAGTACTTTTTTTTTGTTCTTATCTATTCCAATTAATGACCCAATTGATCTGAAATCATATGTGTTCATTTTTACAATAACATTTAAGGAATTGCATTTTTGGAATTGCATAAGGAATGGGACTGAATTTCATTCACTCAATGAAATGAAAATTCCAATATAATCAATGAAGAATCAATATGAAATTATTGTACAATTTATACATGTACAATGTAAACTGAATTAGTGAAATGCAAATGCTTGATCAAGAAAATTAAATGTTCTTGTCATGCACAATTTGTATTAATTAAAAAATGAGATATTAATTAAAATCAAACCTCATTTAAAAGGTAACTTGAACAATTGAATACCTGTTCCAATAATGTTACAAATATTAGGCCTAAAAAGCAAGGATTTTTTTCATAATTTCTTGAATGAATGCATTTTTATTTTTTGGCAATGTTGAGATATTAGCATACTTGCCAACTCACCCGATTTTTCAACCCGTAACCCGATTATTTTTTATGACCCGGCGGGTCATACTTATCACCCGATTTTTGCCAAACAACCCGAAAATCTCCCGATTTCCGGATTTGGTTCGTAAATTAGGTTGCACTTTTACCTTCCAGTTAAAACCCAAGCTTAGATCTACGCGTAAACAATGCCGATGGATTAATTATCAGTGCAGGTGTAAACAATTAACTGGGTGTTGTTTTGACAATTCAATGTCTGAAGTCAATTAAAATGGCTTCCGATAGAACTAGATCATTATCAGGGCCAACAGGAACAAATTGAACCAAACACATGTCTCTGATTGAACCAAGAAAAACATATCCTATATTTATGTAAGTTACATATCAAGGAATCTTGGGTGAAAAAAAAAAAACTTTCATTCTAGATAAAATAAAGTGATCGAAGACAGTGTAGGCCTAACTTCACATTTAAAACATATTGCAGTAGTTAATCAATTAAGAGAGAAGAAAAATAACTTCAAAACTGAAATTGGTATACTTTCAAATTTAGCAGAAACTGAAACATGTGAAAAGGCTTTTTAAAAAAATGCACACTTACTTCTGAATCAGGTCAATATTGGAATACGAAACCTTCAATTCTCATTTTTAACATGTAAATTAAATCAAATTATATATGAATTTTTTGTCATAGTAAATTAAATCCTTTTTCAATAAAAAAAAATTCTCAATGCACAAATACTTTGTATATATATTATAAAATTTAATCATGGTAATTATGTCGTGAATGTCGTTACGCGTTATGACCAGATTTTTTACTTTCCAAATCTGGTCATGACCAGATTTTTACATGCTGGAGGTTGGCAAGTATGGATATTAGCCACATCCTGACATCTTTGTACCGTTTATTAATCGTTTTTAAATATGTAGTCAGAAGATCATTCATAACTTTCAGTAAAATGAATAGTTAAATAATTACCTGATGAAAATACTATCAACAATCAAACTGTCAACATCATCATTGGACATGGTCAAATGCACCGTGACTTTTCTTCCCTGTTCGGACTGCATAAAGCATAATACTTTACAGGATACTCTCAGGTCTTTTCTTTTTTCCTTCCCATTCTCACTTAAAATTTTAGTGTTGTGGTGAAGCGAGAAACACATAACAGCACAATGCGTCGATAACTTTCTTCTGATCGGAATGGCCTACAACTTGCCACATTCCGTATCGAAAATAAACAAGTCCTCCTTTATTGGTTCATCCACATGCATCACGCTAATCTCAAAGGCTTTTAAGATTCCTATGCTTTGATTTGTTATAAGACTTTCCTTTGTTTTAGTCCTAACAATAAGTGACAACAAACATCAAGTATGACAGAGGAAATTCGTTACCGAGATGCTTAGCATCGCTGGTTTAAAGTCGCCTGTTTCAAACGCTTTGGTGATTCGCAAGAGTTATCTCCCTGTTAACGCAAACCTTACCTTAACTTAGCTGAGAAAAGTGAACTTCTTTGTTTGATTAATGATGAACAGACAGGGTATAACAAATAGTACAAGTATGCTACTTTTCTTTGCCACATGATCCCTCCTTTTTAAATGTTCTATTTTTTTCTGTTCACAATTCGAATTTTCAACTGTACTTTAGAGTTGAATAACTATTATCCTAAAGAATCGTTCTCTATAAGACCCTTTAGCGGCATACGACGAAATCATAGAAAAATTAGTTACTATACATTGTCTGATAAGCAGCTGCTTTTCCAATATAAATGAAACTCGTAAAATTCATGGCTGATTTTTTTACTTTTTCATTAGAAATGACAGTTTAAAATATGGTTTTCCGTCTTGCTTACCAACAAATTATGCCCCAACACCTTATTTGACCAAGCTAAAGTTATGCATTATTAAAGGGATTTATTTCTTAAAGAAGTATATAGGGTAAGGGCCATTTAAGGCCCCCACTCAGAAAATGTTTATCTTAATTATGGAGAGGGATAA